TTTCCCATTGTGATGTGAATTACAAATGCTTTTTACCTGTCATTTGGCATTGTTTATATTGTTTCTGTGTAGAGATTTGATTTTTTTAAGTTAACAAACTTCATTTTTTAGAAGGTTCACAGCAAAATTAATCAGAAAGTACAGAGTTCCTATATATACCCCTGTCCTCACATATGCACAACCTCCCCACTGTTGACATCCCACAGTTTGTATGTTACAATGAACAAGCTGATTGAATAATTTGTTCAATGAAATTTTATTTTTTTCACCTTATTTTTTGTCTTCTTTTATCACTTAGGAGACTACTTTTTTTTTTGAAAAGCCCTTCTCTATTCTTGAACTTGAAAAAAATGTTATCCTACAATAGTAGTGATAATAATGACAATAACAACAAATAGTACTAATGCATTCTGACTGCTTACTTTATGAGCTTGATTCGGTAGGTTGAATTAGCTTCATTTTAAAGAAGAGGAGTTAGAGGTACAGAATATTAAATAAACCTGTACAAAAGCATACAGCTAATAGATGGCATTTTCAACCCCAGGCAGTTTGGACTTACTTCTTTTTAAACAGTTTTCTATTTTCTTATGTACTTGTTTGGTGTAGTAGGTTTGAGGTAGGAATTCAACTTTATTTTTGGACTGTTTGAGTAGAATAAGAGCTAGCAAAGAGGAGTCTGAAGAATTGATCATCAAGGTGGGAGTAAAAGCAAGCGTGGTAGACCTTGTGGGACAATGCTGAGATTTAAGATAAGAAACGATAATATGGCAAGATGAAGCAATCTTGATGGTAGGTATTTCAGTGGAATGGGCTGAAGGAGAAGTCAGATGGGAACTGTGCAAGGATATGAGAACAGATACAGAGCGAGTCTTTTGAAAATTGTAAATAGGAAGAAGGAGGGCGGTAGGCTAAGGAAAAAGTATTGTTAAATTTTAGAAAAATAATATTTTTCTAATATTTGTAGGTGTTAAAAATGCTGAAGGAAGGATTTAATTAGACAAGATCTTAAAGAAGATCTAGTAAGAAAGCTATCAAGTCGTTGCATTCCTAAAAATCAGAGAAGATGGGCCCTGGGAAACACAGATACAGGGATTTGCTTTATATAGAAGATGTCCTCTTCTAGAGGGCGTGGAAAGACGCATGTAGATAAAGTGATTATGAGCTACTTGTGGCAAGTCAGAGTTCCCATTTGATGGTATTTATTTTCTCTGAAGTAGAAGATGTCCTCTGCGGAGTGACTTGAGAGAGGTTGGAGGGTTGAGGAGATGGGAGAAAGTTTGAAAAAGCTGTCATGGAGAACAAACTAAGGGGATATTTAGACATTGTTGAAGGCCTGCCCACTGGACGTTGGTGATGATAGCATGAATTCAATTTTCTTTTCTAGTGACTTCCAGGCCAGTTCTGCCATTATGCTTAATATAGTTAATGCTCTTTAATCATTCACTACCAGCCTAGAATTAAAAAATAAGCATACAGCTTTTTGAATAGAGTAAGTTTGGGGAAGGAAGAAAAAAATCACTACTTTTCACTTCATTTTGGTACTCTTATGTAATGGAAAACATTTCTTGGAAATACATTTTTAATAGGTATGTTAATTTAACTCATTTAACTTTTATTCACGTGGATGTGATTCTTGGGTAACTAGTAGAGGATTATGATAAAATTAAATATTTTAAGTTTAAATATATGTGTTCTTGAATGCCTAAAAACTAGAAAATAAATATTTTAATAGTAAATTCACATTTCTTAAAGTATAACTTTCAACATGTATAGAAAGTTTTCCATCAGTGTCCTCAGATTTAAATTCACTCGTTGTTAAACTTGTTTGTTTATTTTTTTACACAGGGTGTGATAGGTATACAGCTGGTTGTTACCATGGTGATGGCCAGTGTCATGCAGAAGATTATACCTCACTATTCTCTTGCTCGATGGCTACTCTGTAATGGCAGGTAAGGCAAGGATAGGCTGATTGTGACAGGCACTTTCAAATCTCTATTTTATCAATCTGATTAATTAAACACAAATTTCTATTTTCAAAAAGATATGACAGAAGGAAACTTAGGAGAGAAATCTAGCTTTCTTCCTTCTCTTACTTGAGATACTAGTAGTTGATATGTTTAGCACAAAGATAATAGGGTCATGGTCAAGAATTCCATCCCTGCTTCTTAAACTTTACCCTTATGGTCATGGCTACTAAAAATACCACATAACTCTCCTAGTTACCTTTAAAAACACTTGGTTATAAGGGGATGAGACTGTAAAATACTAAATATTTTCCCCATTATTGGAAAAAATGACTCAAAGCATATGTCTTGTTATTGGTGACTCAGTTGAGAGTTTATTATCAGAGTTAGGGGTTCTTTGTATTACTGCAAAGAATTTAAACTTTGATTTAGCAAGGAGGGAGTGAAGTTATTTTGTAGGATTTTAATTTTGTCTACTGCATTATAAGCTTATAACTATCCCCATTCTTTCCTCAGAGGAGCTAAGTTGCTTTGCTTTATTATTTATTAATAAAATAGTAAAATCAAAAGTGAAGAAGTTTAATATAGGAGATACCTTGAGGTAAAAACAAGAAAACTCTGCATGCAGAAATACATGCCAGAATCCTGTGTAATTATGAAAGATAAATTGTAGATTTGGTACCATGACTATAGTTTTAGTCCCAATTATTCATCTCTAGTAAATAACCAATTTTGTTATTTATTTGTATGTCCATTTCTTTTCTTTAGAGCTTTTGAAGTTATAAAACCATAGATCACTCTCATCCACTAATGATTTCATATACTGTTAAGACATAAAAGCCTTTAAATTCAGGACCATTCTATCAACAAAGCTTAGAGTTCCTTCATATAAATTATTTTGTAGTATTTAGTTATTTTTATTCTTTTTCTATGTGTTAAACTTTTTCCATATCAGTGTTTATAGGAAAATATTCACAACTGCTTAAAAGTGTTTTGAACACTGATACACACATGTGTGTATGGAATGTGTGAGAGAACAGCTGTTTAAAAACATGTTTATTAGCAAAATAAATAATGACTAAAGTTTTAGTAAAATTGAAGAATTCTATCACATATAACTAGTATTTAGCTGTGTAGGTATATAGCACTGTGCAGTCTTGTTTACTTTTTTGGCTTAGGAAAACCCTTTTCATAGATTGTAAAAGGGAAACAGCTGGGCAAATTCTCATTAATTCTAAATAAATGGAATCTGAATCAATAAACTAGAAAAATACATTAAGGGAGCTTATTTTCTACCAAGAATTGCACATTTCTAGACTCTGTTTATGATGAGTCTCTAGTGAGACTTCCAGATCTTTTTTGACTATAAAGATGTTGGCAATCTTATCCCATTTTAGTCTATAGGCAGTTTCCATGTTCTTACATAACCTGCTTTCCAGTTGTTTCTATAAAACTTGTTTTCATCAGTAAAAACTAAAACTTCAGAAATTGGAAACCTGATTCTCTTCTCTTTGTTAATATTGGGATAATGTACTATATTTAAATCTTTACTTTTTGACAAGTATTTGTCATAAATATACAAACTACTTTGAGGGAAACTCAACCTTTAAAAATAAACAAAGTAGTTTTTTTTTGTGATCTTGATTTGTTTTTGTAAAGATTAACTTTAATGTTAATTAATGCTGTCTGTAATTCGATATCAGTTCCAAAGATACCAATCAGAACTTTCTAGTAATTGTTTTAGGCTATGGGTAGTTTCATTTCCTCCCTGTTACTTAGTTTGGGTTTGTGTTCTTAAGATCGTCTACCTACTTTAATGTTATCCTGAAAATTTTAGATCATGAAGCCAAATTACTGAATGTTATTACCTAGTTTCAAATTATTGATTTTTATACCTTTGGGATAATTATTGTTTTACCAACCTTTTGTAATGAAATGATGCTCTCTTACATCCCTTCTAAATTGCTCATGTAAGAATATTGATCCAAAATGATAGTTTGCTTTATAAACCATATGATGCTGCTCAGTTGATAAAAGAAAGATCTGAGCGAATTCTTTACTGACTATAAAATGCTTATAGTAGTTTAAGGGGAGAGGCTCATGAGGGGATGTCTCAGAAGTGACTATGTTTAATAGAGCTATTCAAGGTAATAAGTATATCGATACCATTATAGTTTAATCATGAGTATGATAGAAGAAATTTTCTTTTTAGTTTCTGCATATGTTGTCTTAATATTTATTCTGCAAGTATCATATATTCAAATTGTAAGTAAGTATTCTATATTTTTCTTTAAAGTATGGCTTCTCTTTCTGTATCATAATGTCCTTATCTCTTATCGATCCGTGTCTCTTGGAGTAGAGGGGTTGAAGTGGCACCTGATTCTGTTATGTTGACTGTGTGAGTAAGCCTGCCATTTTCCTGAAGAAATCAATAGTTTGAAGGGATAAGCAACTTTGCTTATAAATTAGAAGCTTGTTGGTTTTTAATATAAAAATAAACTAGTTTCTAGGTCTTGCTAAATAATATATGTATTGCCATTAGTATTATACACCTTTAGTTTTTTTAAAAACTGCATAGTCTTTAGCCTGATTTAATTCATTGATACTACCTTTACAGTGTTAATAAAACAACATACTGATAAAATTTTTATTTCTGTTACCTCATTTGGATGTGTACACACTGAGCTAGGTAGGAAAAGAGATGCATTGGGTATATTATGACCTCAGAAATCCTCAGTGTCTAAACTTAAAAGTTTCTCATTCATCTTCCTCAGATTTGTATCAGGGTTAAATAGAGGGAATCAGAAAGGGATTGGCATCTTCCAGGTAGAGCCTTCGTGAAGTGGGGTTTCCAGGATTTAGCCACCCTCTAAGTGGTGACTTAGGCATTGTGGACTTCTTCTGTCTTAGGGCTCCTTTCTCCCTCTTGCTCCCTCTGAGTCCTGTGTTAGATGCTATGGCAATGGGCTGTGCATCTTTCAAGAGATTGAGGGGCCGAGTTGAGTAGATACATCATTTCTGCCATATTGCATAAGCTGAAGCCCTATGACTAGTTCAGGCTCAGGTGCAACAGAGTCTGGGAAATGTAGTTTTCATTGTACCTAGGAAATAAAAGCAGGGTTATTGTATATTTAGTCCTTCTCTGCTGTAGGTGATGTTGTATCCATTTTTACAAATAAAACAAATTGTAACTTTACTTATGTTCACATACAGAAAAATGAAACAGACCCAGCCTTCCTACTCTGCAAGTCTGTTTCATAGTCTTGATTTGATTTATGGCTGCTCCTCAACTCCAGACCTTGTCCTAGAACTAACATACTTGAACAGAGTTTTGAATTTGGTAGAGGTGAACTCTTCTACAACCACTGTGACTTCTGCTGGCAGTTTATAGAATATTTTATTAAAAAAAAATTTTTCCCCCTAGCTGTACTTGGCCTTTTAAAAGATATCCCTCAGGTTATAGGTAGTGTATGATTTCTCCTCACTTAATGTATCCTCATAGCTTCTCTGTGACTACATAGCTAACTTTTCTTCCAAAGTAATGTAAGGGCACATCAGCATTGATTTTGGTTACCCAAAGCATGCTAATATGGAGTAGAATTTTAAGAAATATCAACCTTTCAAATTATACCTCTTACCTTACCACTCGAGATTAAATGTATTCAACACTACTAATTTGTAAATATTTTGTATTCTATTTTTTGAGCTTAATAGTAAAATATTTTTCTTCTAGAAAATGTTATTCTGCTTTTTAACATACCTTTTTGCATGAATATTATATTTTGTTGAAGGGATTCCTGCTTTAATAAGAACTTCAGTAACAAGATCTCTTCTGCCTATAACTTGTGAACATATATTATTGACCTTGATAAACACAACTATGGAGAGTCTAGTGGTCTTAGATTGCTCTATTCCTTCCTCCCTGCCCAGAGGGACAAAAAATCATAGGACGTTGGTTTCCTTGTACCTTTAGTGTTAGGGAAAAGCAGTTTTTCTCTAACATAAGGAAAACTTTTTCTAACAGTTCAGATTGTCTAAAGATGTTCTTTATCATGTCCAGCATACCACTTACTTGTAGCTAAAGTATTCTCTACTTTCTATTGTAAATAAAGTTCCTTTTTGTTTTGAAGTTTGCTTGCCCCTCTTTTCACGGAGAGGTAAGTTATAGGTTACATTCTTCGTACATTTGAATAGTGGGTTTTGCATGAGGAGTAGGATTTTGCTTTTTCTCTATAATAGCTTCCTTGTTGAACCTGCTTTTCCATTGTTCAGGTCAAACCTCACGCATTCTTCTCTACCCCTTTATCTCCCTAGGCTCTCACTTTGGTCTATTTCCCATTACATGTCTCTCATCAAAAATATATTATTATTGAATATACTCTGATTTTGTTTCCTCCTATATTGGATAAAGAGGGTGTAACAACAACTTCATATTCAGTTGCTCTAATTCGTTTTGCCTGTTCTCTTCTGCATGTTGCCTGATCAAGAATCTCCAAGTTCCCTTTGGTGAGAGAAACCTACTATTCAAATGCACAGTAGGTGGGACCTATGACCTAAGGGACAGGTTCAGCTACTACCCTTATGGAATGCCTGAGTCCTTCCTTGCACTCTTTGCCTTAGCTGTCTTAACTTCTAATTCTAGAATGTCATGTCATGATATTCTATTAAAATTTCTAATAGATAATAAGAGAATGTATAACAAACAGTATTTTAGTTACTTGTGCTAAATGATCTGAAGTTTTAAGTGATATTTGTTTTCCCTTAATTTTTTTCTTTTTTTAGCTTGAACTCAGTACTAAGCTTTTCCATATTTGTTCCTGTTTAGATTTCCATTTTAAATTTCTGAAATTTTTAGTTCTGCAAATTTTAGAAGTGGTTTGCTTTAAATAACATTGCTGCTTAAATTTTTTAAACAGTCTAGGTCAATACATTCCATATTTTATGATACATATTTTTTCACCGCTATTGAGCTGTGTAGTATTCAC